CTAACCCACTGAGCCACACTGGCCTGGCCTGACTCCTCTTTTGATCTACTTAAAAGTTAGTCCCTCCGTCATAAACCTATTTGCCAGACCTCCTAACAAATAGACTGGTTGGAGATCAGCTCTTGCTGTGTCCCCTGCCGGCCACCTGTTTTAGGTGTTAGCGCGTCATGAAGTGCCTGAAAGCACGAGTCTGGAAGAGCAGAGGGCTGAGCTGTCAGAAAATAGAATAATCTCCTTGGCCTACTCCAGGGTTGTGAGGTGGCTTGTATCATCAGGTCATCACAGGAAGGATGAGTAAGATTCATCATGAATCCATGAATCTCTGGAAACTAAAACGCAGGCTAGTTTAGGAGAAACCTCAAAGGCAGCATGCAGACTTTGGCTGCCACTGTCATGGTGCAGAGGCTGGATGTTTGTGGGGGAGACCGTGCGCGCATTCGGTTTGGCCAGCTTCTGCTGAGCACCTAGTTTGTTGCTGCTCTAGGGACAGCGGGAGTGAGACCCGGGCTTGGTCCTGGGAGTTCTCAGGCTGGGAGGGAAGATGTCACAGGAGTGTCCGCTGGTGGCAGCGATGGCTCTGCACGGAGCACTGGCTGTGCGTGGCCAAGCCTTGTGCCTGCCCGGGCTGTGTTGACTTGCATTACCTTGAATTCTCTTATCGGTTCTCTAAGCTGAGTATTACTATCGCCGATGTACAGATGGGGAAGCAATTTCCCCCCTGCATGTTATTGTACTGCCTCTGAGCACAGCATGTGAAAGGCCTTGCCAAGGACGTAGAGTGGGGAAGAATTCAGTTTGGCTCTGCTATGCACTGATGGGGTCTGGAGGAAATTTTGTAATTTATTTGAGCCACAGTTTCTCATCTATAAAACAGAACTAACAGTGTCTACTTAGACCTCACTGTCAGCATCCTCAGAAAGGCCTTACCTGAGCACCCTAAGGAATTTTATTCCCATCTTCCCAGTCACTTGGTCCCATCACCCTGTTTTAATTTTGTTGTCACCATCTGAAATGATCTTACTGTGTCATTTGTGTTCATGACCACTGTTGGCCTCCTACTTGAAGGCAGGGACTGGGCCTTTCAGAGTTACCCTCCCGTCCCCACACGTTGGTTCCTGGCACATAGTAGGCATTCAGTAAGTATTACATGAATGGGAAGTGTGTAGGCCACAGGGAATGGAGATAGAAAGAAGAAAAGGACCGTACTTATGTTCAATGTCCTTGTGAAAAATTTTAGAAAGAAAACAAATCATTGAAAGCTTTGAGCTATGCAGTACGGGTAGGTAGAATGGTTCAGATGGGTGTTTTTCAGCCATTACTGAAGGCTTGAAAATAAATTCAGTTCCATCGTCTAGTGCATGATGGGCCATCCTTGACCGGAGCTGACCTTCCCTAGCAGGAGGGCGAGGCCAACAGGACACAGACTCAGAAAATGGGATCTCGCGTGCATGGGCCTGGGGGAGATGCTGAGGGAAACGTGTAAGTGGAACTCGCCTGAGTAGGTGTCTGGCCTTCGATCTCTCCCAGGCGTGAGCCTCAGAGGGTGTGCTGTCTTGCTGTGTCTCCCAAAGGCCCCCGCGGCCACACTGACCTGCTTACTGTTGCCCTGGTTGCAGGACTCTGAGAAGCGCACTCCGCTGCACGTGGCCGCGTTCCTGGGAGATGCCGAGATCATCGAGCTCCTGATTCTTTCAGGTAAATGCCAGCCGTGCGTCCAGCCACCCGCAGATAACTGCCAGCGACCCGCTAATTACGGTGACCACCTGAAGGACCGCAAACAGTTTCTTTATGGGGCTCATGGAAGTTTATTTGATCAGCGATTTTGTAACTAAATGTGTAAGAAGTGCAAGAAGTTGTTCTTTTTAAAAATATATATATATTTGATTTTAGAGAGGTAGGGAGAAGGAGAGAGAGATAGAAACATCAGTGATGAGAGAGAATCATTGATTGGCTGCCTCCTGCATGTCCCCTAATGGGGATTGAGCCTGAAACCTGGGCATGTGCCCTTGACTGTAATTGTACCCAGGACCCTTCAGTCCATAGGCTGACACTCTATCCACTGAGCCAAACCGGCTCGGGCGCAAGAAGTTGTTCTTATTGAAAAATGACATCTCCAGCAAAACTTATGTGTGGTTTGAAAATCTGATTCCTGACTGTTTATCAGGCCCAGCATGGTAGGTGAGACCAGCGTATTCGGATGTCTTTAGAAAAGAACAAACAGGCAAGCTGGTTCCTTAGAGTCTATATGAAGAGACAAATGTGTGTATATGTACATAGATCTGAATTGCACTGCAAAACAATGCTTTGTTCTGTTTATGGACCTATGACTATGGCTGTGTAATAAAAATATAAAAACATGCAAGGAAAAGAAACATTAATTTCTGGACAGTGGTTACTTACTTCTGAGGAGGTAGGCTGAGTGAGGGGTGTTTTCAGGGAAGGGCGTAAAAGAGGCTACAACTCTGGAAAGTATTCCATTTTCTAAAAATTGGAAGCAAATTTGGCAAATGTGTTAAATCTGATTTGCATGTGCACTGGTCTTTGCGATATTCTCTTTATTTTTCTATGGATTTTAAGTCTTTTGTCTGAGTTAAAAACACCAAGGCTTTCACTTTTGGAAACCTGTGTGCTTGGCACCTCCCACCGGGCAGGTTTCTGAAATCAGTATGTGTTCTCTGCCTTGAGCGTTTGCCAGACAAGGCCCGGGAATGAGTCTGAGCACGTGCACGCGTCCTGGGGTGGATCACGTGCGGATCCGCTGCCTTTCCTCCTCCCTTCTGTTGGGGAGGATGAAACTTGGACTGTGCAAAGGCCTGCACTGAGGCTCAGCCTCTGTTTGCTGTAGCAAAGGGAACTGTAGAACCCAAAGTGAGCTGCGCACGGTGGGAGCTGATGCAGATGTGGAGGACACTGTGGGAAGGAAACAGAATTGTGCTGGGATCCCTGGCCGGTTTTGCTCAGCGGTTGGCCTGTGGACTGAAGGGTCGCAGGTTAGATTCCAGTCGAGGGCACTTACCTTGGTTGCAGGCTCCATCTCCAGCCCTGGTAGAGGCACATGTGGGAGGCAACCAATTGATGTGTCTCTGCCACATCAATGTTTCTCTCTCTCTTTCCTTCACCCTTCCTTCCACTCTTTCTAAAAATCATTGGAAAAAATACCCTTGGGTGAGGATTAATAAACAGCCCAACAAAAACAACAATTGTGCTGGGACACACAGGAAGGTTACATTGGCTCCTGGTGCTGTGTCCCTTCGAGCTGGGCTTTCCCGGACACAGGTGCTCTGTGCCTTAGACCTGCGGCCTGCGCTCCTGGCCGTTGCCTGGCGCTTGGTGGGAGTCTGTGGGGCGTCCTTGTGTTCCTGAGAGCAGGCCTCCTCTGACAGTTCTAAGATGTTCCAGGGCCGGAGGCCAAACAAGCACGCATTGTTCAGTGTTGGCGCGGACCAAGGCTCAGGGCCAGCGCGCACCTGGCCGGCTGCCCCGGCGATAGAGACTTGGCCCGTGGAAAATTGTGGGCGGAAACCGGTGGGGTGTAAAGTCAAGGACTTTGTGGTATGACACCTGCTGGTCCCCACTGGCTGTCCTCACCACCCAAATGTATGAAGAGACACCTCAGAGCCTCGAAAAATATTAGGTTCATGAATGTGCGAATTCAGAACTTTGTCTTGGACCCCAAGCTTGGTTTTTGTCTGTTTTCCACACCTGAAAGGGGAGGTTTTATTTCCGCAGCATGAAGTTGACCCTCTGTTTTCCTTAGGTGCCTCTACATGGCATGGAGTCCACCAGCCATTTTTTTAAATATGTTTTTATTGATTTCAGAGTGTAAGGCAGAGGGAGAGATAGAAACATCAATGCTGAGAGAGAATCATTGATCATTGCCTCCTGCATGCCCCACGCTGGGGATCAAGCCTGAAACCCAGGCATGTGCCCTTGACCGGAATCAAACCCAGGACTCTTCAGTCCTCAGGCTGACGCTCTACCCACTGAGCCAAATCAGCTCAGGTTAGGGCCAGCCGCTCTTAAATGTGGCTCACTCAGTGCAGCCTGGAGAATATATCTTGATCTGTACACCTCTTTGTCTTGGGATTCTGAGCTGTTAACCTCTCCAGTATAATTTTGGGCGGCACGTGACATGGAATTTCTCCTCCCCCATTAAATTAGAAAGATTTAGGGTCCGAGAGAGCATTGGGAAGGTTCTTGATAAATTTTACTCAACTGTGGAAGCTTTAGGTAAGCGCTTGGAATTCACATGGCTTTAGTTTTCCCTTAGGAGTCCTGTATCCAGTTGTATATTATATTCCTAAAGAAATGGCACTGTAAGAGCAGGACGAGTTCATCTCTGAGCTTACATCTGGCAGCTGACCCTTTAGGGCAGCAGTTCTCAACCTGTGGGTCGCGACCCCTTTGGCGGTCGAACGACCCTTTCACAGGGGTCGCCTATGACCATCCTGCATATCAGATATTTACATGACGATTCATCACAGTAGCAACATAACAATTATGAAGTAGCAACGAAAATAATTTTATGGTTGGGTCACAACATGAGGAACTGTATTTAAAGGGCCAGAAGGTTGAGAACCACTGCTCTAGGGACTCCATCCAAACTCTTCTCCAACTTCCTAGGGAATGAGGTGTTAATGACTCCCTCGTTGGACAAATAATTTGGCTTTGCCAGAATAGCCATTACAGCTGTGTTCTCTATTGTATTAACTGCAGAGTGTAGCGGTAACCCAACCCCATTAATCCCTCCCGACATTGCCTCCTGTTAGCCAGGCGGATGGAGCCCCGAGGCCCCTGAGCAGAGAGGAGTAGGCCTTGCGAAATCCCGAAATCCCGCTTCCTGTAGCTGCTGGAGCGGACTCTGGTGTTACCTCCCCACCTGACACTAGCTTCTGTTGGGAGCTGGCCTGTCAGGCTCCAGTCAGAGAGAAGGCCAAGAGCTTGCTGTGGCCCAGAGCTGCATGCATGAGACCAGGGTGCACCCGTGAGTGGATGAGAGTTAAGGGACAAGGTTGCAGTGCAGGAAGCGGAGCGCACGGGAAACACAACCCCAGTGACAGCAGCTGTAGAGAAGCTGGGATGCACAGGGGTTAGCGCCCGGGGCTGGAGGAGTAACATTGAATCCTCACCCTCTGGCATGGGATGTGTGAGGTGTAAGTACGAATCCAAAATAGTGAGTCATTTGCATGTAGGCCACCCAACAAGGGGAGTTCCGGTAAAGGGATTTCCTGTGATCTTTCAAAACGTGAAAGATCTCCCCACGCAAATTGTCTCCTGGGCCCCGGCAGGCCATTGTTCTGATGCTCTTGTGCATAACAAATACTCACTCCTTAACGTTGGACTTGGTTTGTGTGTGTGGGATTTTCCACCCCCAAGAGGTGAAGGTGATTAAACCAGGCAGTGCTGGTTTTGCCCCCAGAGGTGGTGATTATCAGGGGATGAGCCATTTCTGGTGGGCATGGCAACCGGCTCCAACGGCAAGTCCAAGGGGAGTGCTGAAGATGCTCTGAGCGGTTGCCACGTCCACGGGATTATCATACACGCTTCCAGAGTCACTGCTTCGGAGGACACTGCTCCTGGGCTGTAATAAGATTTGGTCTCTGCGTGAAAAAAATCAATAGCGAGCCCATTTCATTATATCCTAATCATGTTTCATATGATTTCTGGTCTATCCTTGTTTGTTTCTGTAATTAAAAGCCAAACTGGGGATACATCAGCCTTCAGAATCAGTTATCCTCTTTGACCTCTAAGCGTTTTCAGTCCCTCGTGTACCTTTGGTCTTTGTTCTACTTTTTCCTAGACGACAGGGCTAAGAGAACAGACATGTCGCCTCTGGAAAAGACGCTCAGAGCTCCCGTTACTCCTGCTCTGTGAACATACAACCAGGTGGTACTAGGGGTGAGACGAAAAGCACACTTAACTCGCAGTTAGGGTTCATGCCTGACAACTGTGAGCTGGGTCTCTGTTTCTGAAGAATCAGGAGAGCCTACCATTTAAAGAATAATCATTCAAGCTTCAGATGTCCTTGGGCACACCACATCTGCCTTTAAATCACTCGGCATGCAGGCCCTGTGTCCTTCGGTGCCCCATGGCGCCTGACGGGCAGATAAATAACAGGGAGCGCCCTTTAGAAAAATCAGTTATAAATACTCAACCGCCTACGTCTCCCGCTGACATGTAAACAAGGCTGGATGTGTTCCGGAAAGAGGAAGCCAGTGGCAGGGATGACACTGATGAAATACAGCCTGGTCCCCGTTCAGATAACTCTGCTGTTGTCTTAATAATTCAGCTTTCCTGGAGGACGAGTGGAGGGACAGGGGACTCAGCGGTGACCGTGAGAAGCCCCTTCCCAGCTCTGTGATGAGCTTTCAGTACCCGGAGCCGCAGGGAAGCAATGCTGGGGTGTGTTACACATGAGGGGGTGAGGGGGGCTTGCTTTATGAGCTCAGCCAGCTCGGGGTCATTTTTCTCCTTGAGAGAATTTTAATATTAAAAGCCACACTGGGATCTACATACAACTGAAAGTTTTCAGAATACATAAATAAAAATTATCATAACACAATGCAAATGTCTATAAATTATAAGGACAAACAAGAATAGAAGAATAAGGGAAACAGGCGAAGCATCTGAACAGGCAGTTCTCGGAGAATGAATGATGAGTGGGCAGGAGACAAGCGTTAGCAGATACCCAGCCGCACTATTAAACAGGAAAGCACCGCAACGAGATGCCGTTTTCCTCTCATCGGATTTGCAATATTTTCAATGGCTATAACTCCAAGTTATCTCCTTTAGGAACATGATATAGAGCCTTCTAATGCCGCACACACAGCCAGAGCAGCTTGTATGTCATGGGGGTGGGGAGGGAGGGAGGAGAGGGAAGGAGGAGAAGGGGGCAGGGAGAAGGAAGAGAGGGAGGTTGAAGGTAAAATTCTGACATGCGGTGGCCAGGCAGGTGGACTCGGGTCTGGGCATGTGCTACACGCAGGCACCCTGCCCTCAGGAGTGTCCTGGTTGGCTGGCTGATGATGGAGCTATGTGGGATGAGCTGTTTAGGGTCACAAAGTGGCAATGACAGAATGGCATTTGGAGTCAACGAAAGGTTCCCGGAGACAGAGCGCTGCCCTCTGCGTGGCGTGGCTTCCCCATCGCAGCGGACGGGGCGGGGGGTGGGGGCTGCATTTGGGACCAGCACAGTGGCTGTGGAGACAGGAGAGCATGAGAGGAACATTAAGACGCCCGCATGGAACACATCCTCAACTGGAAAGTTCCTTTTCAGTTGGACTGTTCCACCAACAGCCTCTTGCTATGTATTATCCTTATTCCCTGGCCTGAGCCGTAGGAAAATCCTGGAGGGTGCTGGGTGGACCACTTTAT